GCCACTTACTACCATCGCCAGCGCTCCATTACCGCTTTGGCATTGCGCTGCAATGCTCAACAGCTCTGTCTCTGTCTTCGGCATTGCCGTCGTCGTCGTCGCCGTCCCGGACACCGGCACAGGCGCTGTCACTGGGTCTCTGGTGAGTGTGTTTGGCTGGCTAACCTGGAGGCGAATGCGAAAAATGTCTCTACCCTTTTTCAGTATGGAGCGCGACTTTGAAACGTTTGCAACGTTGGCACTGAACTAATACGAAAAGTGCATGCACACCGCTGCAGCAGCTGCTTGCTAAACCAACTCACTAGCTAAGCGCTCGACTGACGAACTGACTGTATGACTAGTAGACTAACTACTATACGATGACTGACGGTGACGGTGCGCTTCTATGAACTTAACACAAGCCAGCTAACTGGCAGGTTGCCTCCACGAAAGTTTGATTGAAAAGTTACACATACCCATGGGCAGACCAGCAAACGCTTAATTTTTTATTTTTTTTTCAAAAAAAGAAAAAGAAAATGTAACGCGAGTTTATGTTTTTTCATGCATGGCACAAAGTGCAATGTTAAGTGAGTAACAATAACAAAAAAAAAAAAAAAAAAAAAAAAAAAAAAAAAAAAAAAAAAAAAAAAAAAAAAAAAAAAAAAAAAAAAAAAAAAAAAAAAAAAAAAATTAGAGATAACGGAAAACTGCAAATTGTAATTGAAATAATATGTGATAAAGGTGTGCATAGACGAAAGAGCAATAAACTGGCCTCAAAAAGTTTGAGCAAGAAAATTGAGAAAAAAAATTTCATTAAGAAAAATGTGTTAAAAGTTTGACAAATTTATAAAAGTTTACGAGAAATTTTTCACTGAATGTGAGTTTATTTTTGAATGTGAAAAAAAATTGAAAAAATTAAAAAACAATAAAAAGGAGAAATGGAAAAACAAATTTATTTAAATATAATTAAAATTAATAAAAAATATATATACACATATATAAAAAGTATATAAATGAAGAAATAGAAATGTATAGATATAAAACGAATACCGAAAAAAGTAAAATCAAATATAAATGAAATTAAAAAAAAATCAATTAATTAAAACTTAATTAAAAATATCATAAAATAAAATAAACAACAATTTTTTCTTTTTTTTTTCAATAAAATAAAAATAACTTTCCACTCTAATTTCTGCTATCTGCCAAAGTGGCAACTCGCACGCACACACACAAATACTGCAGATAGTATAGGCACCGTTTGGTAGAGAATTTCTTAGATTTTTTACTCGTTGCAAGCAACTCCAATCGCGTCGGAAGCAGTGAAAGAATTTTTTCGTTGACCTACGACAAAGGAAATGAAGTCAGTTGCAAGCCAAACACCAATACACGTACACACACATATATTTGCGCACTTTGAAATGCACATGGAAGGCATGCCAATACACTGGCAGCCAAGTATATACACAAATGTATTTACGAACACATATGCATGTACGAACACATACACAAACACATAAACACATATGCGATTTTGTGTCGATATTATGAAATACACATAGGCAACCGCCATAGATGCGCACCAACACAGCGCGCAAAGGGTTGTGTGCCAACGAATACTCAAAAGCACAACACACGAACACGCACACACATACAAGCGCGCTAGCGTAAGCGTAAATGTTGCACTTGCTGTTGAAAAAACAACATGCGGCAGCCACAAAAACAACAACAACAATGTGAAAATAGGCTCACAACAGCATTGCAGCTGTACATGAGACATAGCTATGCAACAAAAACAACAACAACGAGAAATTGCCGTATACACACCGCAGCGACTGGCTGTCAACGCGCATGAACAGTGTGGCCAAAAGTGGAGGCCCGTTGGCGGTGTCGTTGATTATGTGCATATGTATGCTTTTGCATGTTTTGTTGTTATTTGGAGTGAAGTGTTTGTTTGTTGATATTGTTGCGTTTGCATTATCGTAAACTTTCGTCCTTTGTTAACTGAAAAGTTCCTATAATTGATTTGAGAAATTAAATTTAAAATTTATCAATAAATTTTTAAAAATTTGGGGAAAATTAAAAAAAAAATTAAAAGATTTTATAAATCATACAGATTCCTAAAAAAACAATAAATCATTAATAAACTGAAAAACGTAAAAAAATACCAAGAAATGTTGCGATAAATCCAATGAAAACAAGAAAAACGCTTCACTTCGATTGCAAAGCAGCTATAAGATCTTTCATAGGTGCTTTTTGTATAGCATAAAGCGTATGAAAAGAACTTTATTTGGATAGCAGCTACAAGGTATAGCGGTCCCTCCGAACAAAATATTCGAACCTTACAGTGCTACCTCGGCTAATAATCCATGCCACATTTCGGGAAGATACCTCGTCAAATGAAAAAGTTGTTCATACCAGAAATTGATACTGATCGCTACGTTTGTATGGCAGCTATAAGTAATATGATCCGATCTGAGAAATTTGTTCGAGGATTGTACTGTTGAGTTGGACATAATCCATGCCAAATCCCGAGAAGACAGTTTGTCTATTTTCTTATAAGAACTTGATTTTCATCGGTCAATTTGTATGGTAGATAGACACATGTATATACAAATGAGCAACTTCTTGAGTAGAAAATCTCAAACTGGGTCCCAATCCGAACGCACAACCTTGAAAAGGGATGGTTCGCCTTCTCACTTTAGATCGCCTTCAAACCGATGTTCGTAGAGAATACTTGGTCAAAGACCAGCTGAGCCTCATGTAAAATAATCGTCTATGGCCACTCCTAACTGAATGGCGATCAAGGAACCTTCCACTCTTGAGTGAAATTCTACACGTGGCTCATCTCGTGGCAAACCGTCAGTTGCTACCGATAAAATTTCTCTAAAAAGCTTAGTAAATTTCCAATGTAAAAAGTGATGTATTTAATTTCTAAAAGAAGTTTTAACATTTCAATAAGTTTTGAATTCATACGATGTGTACACATTTGCTTTGAGAACTTCATAGTACTAAACACTCTTTTTTTGCTACACTACAGAAAAATCTAAGTAGACAACTATTGTACCACGACAATTATTCACATAGCTTCCTTAATTTATTGGCTCTTTAATTAATAATTTGTCTGATTTATCACCTAAAACCCAAACATATTTTTTTTTTGTATTTTCTTGCTATATTTTGTTATCTAAAAGCACGTCTGAAAATGTAAAAAATGGAAATGTAAAATCGCATGTAAAAAATAATTAAATATTGCGTATAAATTTACTCAAAGAATATTGTTTTTAATCACACAAGACTTCCATAATTTTTGGTGCTCACGTTTATGAAGAGCCACCAGACATTGTCTACCTGCACCTGTCACTGCCGTAAACCAAACTGCATTTTCTAGCTTTTATTACCTTTGCAAATGCATTTTTATATGCAAAGATGCATGCTCTCATGCAATTCTCCATGGTCCATAATATTTAGAGTCACAATTTTTAATGGCGCAAAGAAAGACAGGAAGTTATAAATACAAATTCGCCATAGAACTTATGCTAAGCTCTTAAAACTCAAGCTCACAAAACCGTGGGAAATTGGTAAGAGCCAGTCTTTCTCATAGCCTCGGTGTCATAAAGTTGGACCAAAATGAGTGAAATGTTTTGCCAAGAAATAAAGCAAGTAATTCAAGTAGAAGTTATAAAAGACAAAAAATGGCAAAGCACCAAAAAGTTATGACAAGTACATAATAATCAAATCATACTAAACGAAAAGTAAATGAATACGAAGAGAGTTTGCAATTACGGGTAGCTAACATTTTAATTTTTTATTTTAATTTTATTTTTCGTTTAATGCTTTTATTCGACAGCAAATAGTACGTATGTATATGTGTTGTATAAGGAAATATATCATTCAAATAAAATATTTGGTATCAGTATTTATGTTAAGGTTGATTCTTTAGTCCATTGCCATGCTTATGAATAATAGCACTTTGAACTCATTTCAAATCAACTTTGCAGTTTTATTTTCATTTCCGCTTGTTCATCTCGATGTTTAAAGTTGTGAGTTTCAATATATTTTAGTTTTGTGATCTCCTCTGCAAATCTCTAAACTTTATTGAAAAAAGACTAACCATCAACAAACGCTTTCAGTGCCATCGTGGCACTTCTAATACCTTCAATATATACAGAGGCTTATTTGAAACTCTTATCACTAATATTTTATAATGTCCATTCGTCCTTTTTTGGCTTTAATAAGCTTTCAATACTATTTCGTTTAGAGCCATACATTCTATATTTGCACAGCCTTAACTGAAAGTCCTATAAATAATCTCCAGCAATATTTTTTCAGCCTCCTTGGCTTCACTTATAAGAAACAAAGTATTTCCGTGTTGAGGTTGTAATATGTGGTGAGTTTTCAATGTGTGGTGAGTTTTCAATGTGTGGTGAGTTTTCAAAATGTGGTGAGTTTGCAATATGTGTTGAGTTTGCAATATATGGCGAGTATTTATCTCGAAAATCTTGAAATAAAGCGATTTTGGTACTCCTGCACGATATACTTTTTGATAACTCCGCTTATATAATAGAGCGCATACGATTTTCTCTCACTTTATTAAGAAATACTAGAAAACCTGTGTCTCATTGTGCACAGAACTTAAAGGTGTTTCTGAAGACTAATATTTTTTTGTATTTATGTTATGTTGAAAGGAGGAAAGACTCGTACTGCTCTTATTTTTTCAGTATAACTGAACTTCTATGTTTTTCGGAATTTTTTTCTTATTAAATAGTACACATAATACCAAAACAATTGTTAACTAATTAATAATATTAAATAATAAAAGTTTAGCGTAATGACTTTAAAATAATTTATAAACCGAAATTAAGCCACAGAAAGAAAAAGCTCATAAGAAAACCTCAACCAAACCACATAAAAAAAGCGATAATAACATAGAATATTATACAAAAATATAATTTAAACCACATAAAATTTTTACAACTGCAAATTTATTAAAAATCAAATCAATTGAAAAGGGCCAGAAGGACGTGAGAAATTGATGAACCAAACTAAAAACTACTACGCAATTACGATAAAACAATTAAAGCTTATGTGCATCAAATATTTGATTCGATTCAATAGTAGAGAAAAGACAGAGTTATATATGTATACCCACATAATGGTGCATATATGAAAGTGCAACAAAAAACTGACCCTGCCAACAAAAATTGCAACAAAAACTATGCACATGCGCAGCACCAACCTAGCTGGATGCAGGCAAAACAAAATGCTATTTTCCGAATGTATTTGGTGAAAATTAACATGCAGGCCCCAACCACCCTTAAACCGTGAAGAAAACGAGAAAAAAAACAACACAAAAAGCATAAACACGCAACCAACAAAGAACCAACGAGTTGTCGAGCAACGAACTGTGCGGCAAAACTATAACAAGAACAAGCACCAGCGAAAACTACATTAAAATAGTGGCTGAGGACGCCACCAACTACAAACAGACATACATTTGTACTACGCGTACGGCAAGGACTTTTCTACAACTACGGAGGCAACGCGGTGCAGCGCTCTACACTATTTGCCTTCGTCACTACTATTTACCGTTAAGTTAACGCTGGCGTACCAAAAATGGACGCTCGTTTCGGCAACTCGTTGCACTATTCGTTGTTAGTTTAAAAAATTTCGTGACTTCGTAAATACGGTGCACCGTTCGTGCAAGTACTGTGATGACTCGTACATTGCCGAGGACAAGGCCTCGGTGAATGCAACTACTGTGTACCCGTTTGCCGTGTGCGAAAAAGGATGGCCTCAAAGGATAATAGTTCAAGTGCAAAGAGGATGCCGTCAACGAACGGAAATACATTTATGTGCATACCCAAGTATATATACCAACACATATAAATATATAAATTTATATATTGTTAAAGTTGAACATATAAAGGCTTTGGATTTATGCATTGACTTGCATATGTATGCAGTTTGGTTTGTGTGTTTTTGCACTCACATTTGTGCAGCGTTTGAGTAAGGCTGAGTCTCCATCAATGCAGCCCCCACATTTATATACCAGTACTATTGCTTTTGTGTGCATATTGTGGGGGTGCAAGCGCCGTCAAAATTCTACTGAAAATATGCTCGAATATATGGTGGAAAGGAACGAAACACTAATTAAATAATATCAGCATAACAATGCACAAAACAATAAGGCCATGTTGAGGTAGGTAAGCACTTATTTCCCAAAACTGAAATTTAATTGGTGTCCAAAATTTGGCAGCACTTGTAATGTTCGACTTTATTAGAGGATAATAAGAGAATATAATAATATATTTTTTATTAAAATGAAAGATTACATTTTAGTAAATGGTAGTTTAAGGATAAAAGTATATCTGTATAAGTATGTATCGTAAAAAATTTGGTTCTACCAAATCTTCTCTTCCCAACATTTTTCCAGAATTCATTAACTAAATAGTTTTGAAAACAATTTGAACTAAAATGTTTTTTTTTTTTTGTGGAAATGTAAAGTTCTGTTCAAATCAATGATAATTTATTTTGAGAGTAAAGAAAAAGATGGACTTGTCTTTTTTACTTTCTTAAAGATATGTATCTTTAGAACTACAAAAAATTTTATATTAACATTTTGAAGCAACATGACGTCTAATAAGCCAATCTTCGAAAGCAGTTTTTGTTTTGGAGAAACTTCCCAGGCGAATGTATGCTTTTCCAATACAAGCTCGTCGCCTTGTGATCGATCTAGCCGAGATTGACTGCCCCTTTCTTATTGTGTATATATAAAATATATTTCAGAAGACAGTCCTAAATAATTCAAATAATGTTTCATGGAAAGGTATGTTAAAGTAAAAACGCAGCCTACAACCATATGACCAAGACCGACTGACAGTGCGTATGAGTAATATTTTTGATTAATTAAGAATTTTTGGCTGTGGCTTAGAGAAGAATAAGAGTGTATGTTAGATATAAAAATGTATACAAAAGGTACAAATTATGGCGTATGGCTAGCTATATAGCTTATAGTAGGTATATAGATCAAAAACTAATTTTCGAGCTTAACCGAATATAATTTCCAACAATACGAGTGTATTCAACAGCACCTTCTACATATGATACAAAATCAGCCACCCAATACTAATGCTGCCGGCTTGCATTATTGTACAGTCACTGCATTACCTATCGAGTTTACCATGCAGCTTTATGGACGAACTACTTGTAGATTGTTAGAATCGTTAGAAATTTCCAGCAAGAAGCAATACATGGAAATCCATTATATGCGCGCTAAGCCATACATATACACATAAGTACATATGTATTTGTGCCTATGAGGTTTAAATGCGATGCTGCGGCTAACGATGGACTAGCGCTTGTTGCCAATTCTGCTAAATCCGGAGAAAAGCTAACATTCACACACAGTTCCAGTGCACACATGCATATATATGCATACAGCCAGTTATCTAAACACATGCATCGGAGCCATAACGTAAACTGGTTGCTAGTTAATGCCATCGATGACGTTGCCATGGTTTCTCTCGTATTCCACAAAGCGCTTTCGGTATTAAATTGACAATTTTGTATTTGTGTGTGTACGCTGTATATGTTAGTACAATGCTATCTTGCTTTCATGATAAAAGAAATACTTTGGAGACGTGTTCTATTAGAAAATTCTTAATAATTATCTCTTCATAATGGTAAAGGATTTAAAAAAAAAAACTATTTTGTGAAACAAAATTTGAAAAATTAGACAAATAATGTAATGTGTAGAAATTAAATGTTTCCTAAAATAAATAATAATTATCATTATAGGACTGTGACATTTGTTCCTAAACGGAAACATACAAAAGTCGATATCGAATCGTTAAGGAATAAGCGTTGTTCTAAGTGTTCAAAAAATCATGTTTCCAAATAAATTGTTCAGAATCGTCAAGAAATATTTTATTATAGGATATTTGAGAAAGTTTAAACAAAGGACTTGAAAAAGATTTTTGAACATAAAATTTTTAATAAAAAAAATTTGGAAATATTGAACATTTTATTTTACATTTCAAAAAAATTTTGAAAAAAGAATTAAAAAATAACAAATTTTATATACAGCCGAAAGAAAATTTTATTTTACATTTCGAAAAAATTTTGAAAAAAGAATTAAAAAATAACAAACAGTCTGAAAGAAGAAAAATATATTTTCTTTAGTATGTAAGGAAAAATAATATTTGAAAACCCAAATTGAGTACCTTTAAAAAATACTTGGTTTGAATTTTGAAAAAAAAAATTAGAATTAAAAATTTTTTGGTATGAAATGGTATGAAAACGTCGAGAAAAATTGTGTTTTGCAATTTTTCAATTACGTTTTTCAATCGATTTGGCAAAAAAATTCTTTCCCCATTCAAAAATAATTCCTTCTTTTTGTTGTTAAAATTTATTCCTCTTAATTCAGACATTTCCGTCAATGTTCAGTAGCAAAACCAATTGACTGGAAGGCGCTAAAAATTTAAGTGTACAACTATTACAATAACAATAAAGAGCTCTAAAAAGTAATCGTAAAAGCTTCAAGGAAGCGACTGAAGTACTGGACATTGAGAAAGTAGGTTGCGATCATAAATTATTTAATAGAGTTTCCTATATAAATTTCTGTATTTACCGCAACTCATTTTGGAAGCTGAACTGTTAATTATGTAAATGTATAGTATGTAGATATATAAATTTTACTTCATGTTTGATCATAAATCTTATTTAGCACACGAAATATAATTTTTTTAACGGTTCACGCTGCTAATCTAAGAGCGGGAATATTCTAACATCTAAAAGCAGTTTTACATATACTTGTATGTATATAAAATTGTATATGCTGCTTGCTGCCAATTTGCTTATTCCTTGTGGCAGCGTTTCACATTAGCGAAATTTGAAATTTTAACGGCTTTCACCATTTCACAGACGCTGCGGGCTTGCTGGCGTGTTGCTGGCATAGATGCATATACATATATAACCACTAAGCTATAAATCCATGGCTTAGAATGGTTAACAAAGAAAGAGTCTAGCCACTTAGATGCTGCCACTTCTTATATAGTCATAAAAGTTTAATACATATCTATAAATATATATATATAAATACATATTTTTGAAATTCACAGCCAGATCAGCAATTCCTTCAAATACTCACTTATATCCCCGCTTACAGACACGTAGAAAGCTATTAGCCGGTTTTGCAGTGCCTTCGTTCCATGGCAATATCTATGCATGCCTCTAAAGTGGTGCTGCTGTTGCTATGTCATAAATTGTTGCCCAGTCACCAAAGCATGGCAGACGCAAAAAGCATATTTCGTTGTGATCGCTTTTCAAATTCACCTTTCGCTGCTCACAATTGCTCACACACACACAAGTGTACATTTTGCTATTTCCTATGCTCTAACAAACACACACATATATGCGCTGGCCGATCGCGGCTTCGTTGTACGATCGGCGCCATGTCTGCGTGCGTGTGTGTGTGTGTGGGGAAAATGGCGTGTTGAGCAAATCTAGCGCAGTTGGTAGAGGCAGACAAGTGCTTGCCGGCAATGAAATATATGAAAGTGGGATACGATGACTGGTGAGTAGAGAGAATAGAGTAAAGACAGACCCAGTTGTACGTAGAAAAGTGCAGCAAAGGCGACGTGGCGGTAAGGAATAGTTGACGGTGACTCGAGAGTAGTCAAGTTCAAGCACAAGAACAGCTATGGCATTTGCATTATTATATTTATATATGCAGTAAATGCAGTTCTCTTCTACTTATAGACCTTTACTCGCCTTTCTCATGCTTTTCTAACTGCTAGCTAGTCAAGCTTGAACTTTTTAGTTCATAAAATTTCTGACTTTCTTCCGTTTCTTCATCTACGTATTGTACATCTTCATCTTTAACATCTTCTATATTTCCTTCCCTCCTCACTTTATATCCAATATCGCCTCAAAGTTGCACTCCTCTCCACCGTTGACACGCAGACTTTTCGCTCATTTCTTTGTTCCACAATTTTCCTCAATATGCTCTTTATATCGCTCGAGCGTACTTCCTCTTTGCCTCATCACACCATTCATTGCATTTGCCGTTCTCAAACGTTTTGTTGCGCATTACATTTATCTGAGTCATGCAAAATTTAATGGAGAATTGCATCGAAGAGAGTCGCGAAAATTATTCATTACACACACACATATACATACATGTCCAAGTGAGTGAGCGAGTGCGGCGAACGAGTGTATAAAGTGGTAGTGTATAATTGAATTTGATTGAAATCGGTTATCTTCAATGGAAGCGTGAAAAATTCGGAAAGCGTGGAAATCGTAGAATTTGTGATTGTCATACAAAAGAAAAGCAAAGCAAAAGAAAACAAAATTGTCTAGCAAATGAAATAATTACAAAAATGTAAAAATTGCATCGACAATCAATCAATTTGCAATTAAGTTGTGAGTGTGGGAAAATTGATGACAAGGAATGTTAGTGCCATAAATTACAAGCTATTATCGTTGTTAGTTGACAACTTTCATTTACACTTTAAGCTCTATAAATAATTATTGGAGAAGTGAGTAGAAATACTCAGTGTTTATTTTTTAAGCATTTTTCCATTTTGCCTTCATTTATTTTCCACTTTCATATATATTATGTGAAATATAGTGGTTTTTTATCGCATGAAATGTGCCCTGGGGCTATGAGCTTTTTTAAGAAAATTCAGCTTTTCTAAGATAACTTCTTTAGACAAACTGAGTTTTTTTTAGACTAGCCGAACTTTTTTAAAATAACTGAATTTTCACCGCTATTAGCTTTCACCATTAAGTGAAAATGCAAGCTTTTTAAGACTTACTGAATTTTCAACGTTGTGAGCTTTTTTAAACAAACTGAGCTTTCACAGCTATGAACTTTCATCATGACGTGAAAATCTGACATACACGGTAAATACCTTCATTTATTTGTTACTTTCTAGTAAGCAAACCAAGCTAATTATAAACTCAGTTTGCCGAAAAAAGCTCTTTGGATCAAAAGCTTTGAAATTATGAAAGCCAATATGAAACTGAAATCTCAGTTTGTCGAAAAAAGCTCAAAAGCTTTGAAATTATGAAACGAAAATGAGAAGGCGAAACACAGGTTTGGGCGCTGGGTTTGGGATCCGCCGTTTAATAGACCCTACCAATGAAAAGAAGAAGAACTCTGGAGCGACTCCTTCGGCTATCAACTTCCATAGCCCT